GAGTGTGTGAGTGTGTAGTGTATGAGTGAGTGGTTGGTGAGTGCGTGGTGTGTGAGTGAGTGGTTTGTGAGTGAATGGTAGGTGAGGGCGTGGTGTGTGAGTGTGTAGTGTATGAGTGAGTGGTAGGTGAGTGCGTGGTGTGTTAGTGTGTAGTGTATGAGTGAGTGGTAGGTGAGTGTGTAGTGTATGAGTGAGTGGTTGGTGAGTGCGTGGTGTGTGAGTTTGTGGTTTGTGAGTGAATGGTAGGTGAGGGCGTGGGTTGGTAGCCCATCCTGGGTTGTTCCCTGGCTTGCGCCCATAGGCTCTGTGATGGGCTCCGGACCCCCCAGGACCCTGAATAGGACAAGCGGTTACAGAGAATGGATAGTCAGTGGGACACCTACTACAGAATGACATGGCAGTGCCATATCAAACAAGGACAAGGACAGCACTGAACTTTGACTTCTCAACAACTGATATAAGAAAATTGTGGTAAAGTGACCCCTGTGAAGGGTATCATAGGGGAAACATCAGAAAAAGACATCTGAAGCCATGCCCCTATGGGTGTAACGGAACAGAGCGACCTAGCGACCCACTGTGCTGAAGATAAAAATCATGGCAGTCTAAAATGGGCTGCTTTTGTGTTTGCTTCAACCTACAACAAAGAAGTTTCTGGAAGAACAGAAAAACAGGGCAGCGTGTAGCAAGCTCCCTCAATGCTGAGATGCACCTTATTAAGAATAGTCTAATGAGGCCAAAGGTCACTGTTTATTTTCCTTTAGCTAATAGAATAAAATTCTCTTGCCATTAAATTTTATTTGTATAGTGCATTTTCACACCATTACATTGTACAGCGGGGCACACACACTCGTGGTGCAGCAGTGCAATGCACTCGTATGTGCGGCACTAACAATTGGGTTTCAAAGTGAGGTATATGACTTGAACAATTATTACAATCGACATTAACTGCATCTTGGACCAGTAAATAGGGACAGCTGAGAGGTAGGAGTAAGTGTCAGCATGCCCAGAAGTACACAAGGTAAATGTTTGGGGTAGTAAGTTTTAAATAAAAGAATAAATCAATAAAACACACATTCACATAAGATAGACAAAAAACAACCTTTTTGGCTTATTTCACCTTCACCCCCTTTTCATTTACAGTGCACCGACCCTTAATTCACCTTAAATTGATGCTAAAATTTAGATCTAATTTGGTTTGAGCTAATTAATTAGTCAAATCAATTTGTTTTCTATTTACCCCAAACTAATTTAATAACCCTTTTTGGTAGTTTGGATAGATTTCAAAACTAGTGATAATTCCCTTTAAAATAATACATAAACACAAATCATCCAACCCACTCATTGAAATGTAACAAATTAAAATTATATATATATATATATATATATATAAAGAATAACTCTTCCCATATTTAACATGTACATCTCTGATAAGTGTTGTAATTATTCCCCTAGTTTTTCAATTGAAATGCAACACTGTTCACATTTGATTTATGCAAAAATAATAAAAAAAATTATTAAAATCAACACATATGTAGGGTGACCAGATAATCCATGTCAGGGAGGACACTTTGACCTACTTCGGGTTTTACAAACTACTTTCAAACTGAAAGGCTCCTATGCTCGACTAAATAGTTCAGCTCTTCCTGTGCTTTGGTTTGTTTCCTTGACTGAAAGACTCATCCAGCTGTTTCATATTAGCATTAGTGACACAATGCATGATTATCTGAGACTGACCAATCAGCACACAGCAAGAACTCAACGCTCAAGTGAAATCCAGGTCCTTTTAATTGAAATGGTATTTTACAATTCCTGTCCTAGCTCAGAGTGTCCTCCCTGACATGGATTATCTGGTCATGGCTGGCTGACTTCGCTGCAATAATCTTCCCTGTCTTCTCTCCACTGTCTAAAACAGTATAGCTTTAAATGGGGAGTGGGCAGGTTAATTTTTATTTCTCTTCATGAGTATAAACTTTACTATTCAAATGTTGTACTTTACCAGGAGGTGCTCTGGGAAAAAAAATATGGCTCTCCTTCTCTCTACCGTGGCTCGGTAAAGGCAGTTACACTTGTCCAAAGCGCTTTACATTATCCCCACCCAAAGTTCCCGGTAAGCAAACCAGAGATGACAGTAGCAAGGGAAAAACTCCCTAGAAGGAACAAACCTTCGGAGGATCCAGATACAAAGCGGGAGCCCATCCTTCAACGGGCCAGCAGAGGAAGTCAAATGAACATTCCTGATTTATACAAGCCAAATTATTAAAATTCCTAAAATCTGGATGCAAAAGCGAAAGTCCAGAGGAGATGTGGAAATTTTTGTCTAAGCAGGGAGGTGATGGTTCTTCTTCCAATGGCAGAATGAGCGGTGGTCAGCTTCCAAGCTGTCTCCTGGATGATAAAAGAATTAAAGAATTGTCCTTTTAGAGCAAACTTTGAATATGCAACTCCAACAGACTGAGATGCAAACTAAGAAATTCGACACGGTTCCTCTGAGTGTGTAATGTGCTCACGCTTCTGGTGAATATTCAGCGGAAACTGGGAAATCTGGTGCACAGCATGAGAAATACGGAGCGATGAAGATAAATTTGCACCTCCCTGGTCTGATAGCTATTGCCGTCTTACATGCTGAAGTAACGCCTACTGAATCCTTACCTGAAGTCACCATCACCTCATGGAGTCCTCCAACCCATGTTAATTAGCACTGACATGATCATCTTGGTCTCACACACAAAAAAGTTAATTTTTCATAATACCTGAGGTTGCCCTGGGGACAGTCCACAGTGCAGTGATTAAGTAACTATAATATTAATCAAACCATTGTTGGTCCGGATGATCAAAGACGTTTTGTTGTCTTAGGCTACTTGAAAAAGGTTCTTAACGTGTATTGTTTATTTAAGAATATGCTACTACTGGTCTCCCTCCAGAGTGTATCAGACCCATTACAGTGGTACCTCGGTATACGTCCTTAATCCGTTCCAGATCCTTGGACTTATACCAAACAGGACGTATATCAAACAAATTTTTCCCACAAGAAATAAAGCGAAATGATTAATCCATTCCCATGGAAAAAAAATCCTATTGTTATTGGCATTATCACGATTGCGGGGAAAGATGAGGCAGGAAGGCGAAAATCCACAGGCAAACGGGTTTATTACCGTGACCAGAACAGACAGCGACACACATTAATGACGAATCTAGGGAAATTAACTCAGACGCGGACTAAATACACAGGACAGGCTGGACATAACAGGCAACAGGTGATTACAATCGGGAAGTGACACGAGGTAATGAGGGGGGCGTGGCACACAGGAGGATCGGACGAGCAGGTCATGACAGGCATATTATACATTGATGGGGTTGTATAAAATAACTTAAACATTGCTTAATACTAAAATACATAAATATAAAAGCAATTAGATGAAACAAATGAAAAGAGAGTTATAGCGCGGGTTGTTCACTGAATGGTAGCAAGTGGCGTACTGACGCTGGTGGGCAGTCGTGGCTTTGTCTCCAGAGGGGTAAACAAGTTCTAGCAGGTCATATTCCAAGCAAAGGTTGTACACCAGGCAACATTTTTCACATCCAACAGGACATATACCAAGTTGGACTTATTCCAAAGCAGACATATAACGAGGTCCCACTGTATTTCTAGACGCAGCTCCACTATGCAAACACTGTGCATGTTCTTAGACTGTCAAAGAGAATTATGTTTAAGTGCTGGTATTAAAGTGTGTTAAATTAGCCACTGAAAAACCTCTGCTAATGTCACCCCAGTATTTACAGTAAGACCATCCAAGGCACCATTGTATTTGGTGGTTCGACTAGCATACAATGTTTGATTAATCAATACCTCATCAAAATGGTTTCAGTAATTAAGTTAAGTGAGCCTTTAGTGAGATTTAAAGAATACATGGAATGACTGGAGAGATTTGGGAACTGAAGCGAAATCCTTCTAGTCATCCAACAAGGTGTAGCAGCCTAAATGCATTCCATATGATTTAAACCATTAACAGTAGATAATATTGATTCAAGTTACAAGTTTATTAGTTTGACAAATATGACTTAAAAATGTTAAGATTTATTGGATCTACCTTGTAATGTTTAAAAACAGGACTTTTAATGTAGTTCTGATGGATACCATTGGGGTGCTTTTATTATGATAAGGGGGTGGGGGACACGTGGTAGGAGAGAGAGAGGTTAGATTGGAGCGAAATTGTTTTTTGACCTCCTGGTAAGATTGCTCTCGAATTTTGATATAAATGTATTTATTTTATTTTGTGGATAAAATTTTATGTTTGTAATATTGGTTAAAGACTCTAAGTAAACAGTTAAGTTTGTGAAGCAGTTTTTTGGAGTTTTATGGAGTGGACTGGGACGGGAGAATCTTTCAAGCGTCAAGCTAAGCTTCAATAGGAACACAAGAACCTACACTAGGTATCAGAAACTTTTTGGAGAATCTATCTATCTGTCTGTCTCTCTGTCTGTCCGTCTGCCATGTTACTCTTTCTTTGCATATATTAAATACAACAGAATAGTTATGCTTTATTAATCCCCATGGGGAAATTCTCTTTTTCCTTTTCTGCATATTGTTCTCCATGAGACACACATTCAAGTGAGAGCAGGCTTGGCGGTCACTGCACTGGGTCAGCCAGCATGTAGCGCCCCTGGAGCTGGAGGTTAAGAACCTTACTCAAGAACCCACAGACTCTTCTACCAAAGCTGGGGCTTGAAACAGCGACCTTCTGATTACAGGCACAGAAGCTGTTCTTTATTAGCAAATGTACACTCACTGCCCAGATAAATATCTTTAAACATTTTCTTTGACTGAATTGGCCTTAAGTCAACTGCATTGTAAGTGTATATATAATTACAAAGAGCTCAGTTGGGTTGAATGGTCTTTGCAGTTGTCTACAAAAACCTGAATTAAGAGAATGTCCAGATAAGAAAAGGAAAATCCCTGCTTCTGCCCCCCAATTAAATCACAATGGACCACACTGTCAAAGTTTTCAGAAATAAAAGGGCTTTAAGGAAATGATCTGAAAGCAGAGAAAATGTTATAGGTCTAAATTAGTCAACATGTCACAAATCCTGCCCTGTCACAGGGATTTTCCTGTTATAGGTCTAAATTAGTCAACATGTCACAAAGCTGCTGAAAACAAATTTACAGCCTAACTTAACTGTAGGTGGAGTACACTCTGTACCTGGGGGAATAACCAGTGTTAAATGGTTTGTCACACTGCTGGAAGTGCAACAGCAGGCAAGGTCTTCATCTGAAGTCTGCGAGCTGTAAGAAAACAAAAAACAAAGTGTGGTTTCTTCTGTTTCTTTGGAAACTGAATATCTACAATATGTACAGAGCTCACAGAAAGTCTTGGGATGCTTGCATAGTTCAGTAAAAATATTGCAAATGTATTGGTTTTATAACAAAGCATTACTTTAATCTTTTGTTTACAAAAATATATATCACATTAGAAACAACCAGTAGTTTTAAATAATAGTAATAATAAATTGAAACCAAATTTATTGTTCTAAAAGAGCTATTCTGAGTTAAAAACTTAAGTGACAAGCAGTCTCATTAGACACTTTTTAATTAGTAACACCTTTACAATAATACCAATAACATTTGTGTTTAGTATCCCTTTGGGAGCCAGTAACTACAACTGCAATTAATAGCAAGTGGCAAAAACAGAACTGAATGAGTCAGTCAAAAAAATTAATGCAATAAAAAGAAAACGTCTTTGTGAAAAATATGTGCAGATATGTTACAAATTGCTTGTCAGTGGATTTTTGTTTTGAAACCAATAAATTTACTTACAGAACCAAGACTGTTTTTCTCATCTGGTTTTTCAGTTCTTTGTTGCTATCCTAGGGGGCACAGAGTGTCTCAGTGGCTGTCATTGCGCCCTTGTACCTCCAAGCCTGATTCCTGCCCCTGGCTCAGCTGTGTATATGAGCAGTTTCCATGTTCCCTTTCTGCTTGCATGGCTATTCTTCATGTAGTCCAGTTTCCTCCTGCAGTCCAAAAGAGCATGTAGTTTAAGGGGTCTGGTGTCTATGAATTGCCCATAGTGTGAGAGTATGTGTGCCTTGTGATGGACTGAGACCTCGCCTAGGGTGTCCCCTGCCTCATGACTTGTGCTTCCTAGGATAGGATCCAGACTCAACATTAACCTGTACTGAATTGTTAGGTCCAACCCCGTCCTGCTTGCCTATTCCCTGTTTCCCAAGGGTGTGGCTGCTAATCAGCCACGCCTGTAGCTTGTTAGTCTTACCTTGTGTTCCTCACCTCTTGTTAACCAGCCACAGCTGCCTTGTGTTTACTCCTCTGTTAATCATGTATATTAGTGTCTCTTAGGCCTGTGCTGCCTGTTCAGTCATTGTTCTCTGTCTGCATTGCTACCCTGAATGTTTCCCCATAATACACACCCCTGCTTGGGGTTTACTTACTGAATGTCAGCCTTTGGGTCGTCCTTCCTCAGTCGTAACGTGACATGAATAAGTACTTATAAAAAGTATAATTCTCTTTGCTAACCATGCATAACTGTAATTAGTAAAATTGAAGCTGTTTTTAAGCAGTTTTCATAACAAAGCTCAAAGCTCAGCTAGATAAATGATATAGACGTTTGAGGAACAAATTGTATAACTGCAGCATTTAGTAACGGCAATTCAAGTTCAAGAATGGCGACCATAATGAGAGAAACTTTTTTCAATGTAAAGACATGTTACTCTCTCAGCTGGGGGTTTCTTGTTCTGAAAGTTTCTCCCTTTCACATGATCATCACTTTCTTGATCATCTTCCTGTCAGCTGCAGCACTTGACTTTCTAATATCTTGTTTGTAAGACTATTATATTTCCATTAAAAGCGAGGCATAATTTCCCATAATCATTCCTGGTTCATAAATTCCTTTTTCCAATAATATCTTGATAGTGAGAGAAGATATTGTTTGGTGACAGTGAAGGTGACTGACAGGGCCAGACCCAATGGCACAAGGGGGCCCAAATAATAATTACAGAAAATGTAAAATAGTAACAAATAAAATGAAACCATACGCATCAAATTAAAATGTTTATGTGCAGGCAGAAACATGGTCAGCCCTAGCTGATCATAGAAGGACCTCCCAAATAAAGCTTTGCCTAGGGCCCCTGAACAGGTGGGTCCGGTCCTGGTGGTCAGTGTTCAATGGGACTTGCAGAACAATTTGTCGACAAGCAAACAAACAAGCAGACAAACAAATAAATAAATCTTTAGTGCAACAGTGGCCATATCATTGCTTAAAAATAGTTTCAGACATTTTGAACACACTGTTAGTAAAGGCAGAAAAACTGAGTTAAATCCTTATAAACAGTGTGGATGTACTTCTTCCGCTTTTTACTGGTTACACAAATCAATATTTACAGTTCTGCAATAAGCACTCCAGCTGTCATATTGTGCAATAGTGACAGGACGTGTTTGTGATGAAATAATGGGCTTGCGGGCAGTTGGTGACTCTGCCGAATTGCTCCCCTTAGGCTAGTCTGCTTTCCTGTGGGCGCGGCAGGCTAATCACGGTCACGTGTGGGCGACTATTAAAATGTCTCTAAGGCATGGTTCAAGACACAACAGAAACAAGAAGCGATCAGATATGTCAGCTCAGAATTTTTCCATTCCTAAAGAATGCTGCGATTTACCCTGAATACTTTATATCCAACTGGGTCTTCTTAGTGGTAGCTATATAATGTTTTGCTTGCTGTTAGTGTTGCTTTGCAGGTGAAAAAACAATTTGCATGACTATAAAACCAGCACTCCAATTTTCCACACCCAATAACACCTGCGCCCTGCACAGATAATTATCCTTTTAACAAATCCGAGGGAAGATCAGGTGGCAAAGAACATGGTCAATGATGGGTGAAAATCCAACGTACAATAAGAGCTTGGTGCTATAATAAGTAACGATAATGTTCCTTTCTAGATCATTTTAAAAAGCAAACATAGAGATCTATAAAAGCTGGATAGCAGTGTACACAGCAGCCAGAAATCATCTTGTATTGTGTATCATATTGTAACTTTTACTTATGGTTGTTTGTTTATATAAATATTTTGGCTGCCTGAATGCTTTATTATTTATGTCCTTTTCCTTTTATTTATGGTATGACATTTCACTAAAACATTTACAATGTACATTCGAAAATTAGACATAATTATGTGCAAGATATGAGCAAGATGGCAAATTTAAGCAATACTCATCATGGAGTACATAGCCTATAGGGCTCCCTAAATCCGGCCCTTGAGGGCCGACACAGTTTGCTGATTTCCCTGCTCAGACCCACCTACTACTACAGAGCAGGGATATCGGCAAACTGATTTCCCTGCTCTAAAACATTCACAAAATACATTCTGTGCAAAATGAAACAAAAAATCTGTGCAAGATAGCAAATTTAAGCAATAAATCACTGGCAGATTTAAGTATGGGCAACGTGGGCAGGTAGCCAAGGGCAGGATATTGCTGGGGGCAGAAGGGGTGCCCACACACACACACACACACGCACATTTGCACAATCGGCTTTCTATCACTCATTTTCACATCATGTCAGTGATATCATGTCACCATGTGGGTCAATTAAGCTTTTTTCTTTCAATTATATTCATTATGTCTTTAAAGTAATTATAACAATGCTCTTTTTTCTTTTTTCTTTTAAGCTTGTTGGACTAGGTGGCCTGATTCTGGTGTGTGAGCCCTACCACTCAGAAGTATGGGATTGGGGGGGGGGGGGATACGGGAAGCCCAAGATAGGGGGGAGCAAGGAAATCTATCAAATAGTACACCACTAGCTTTGTACAGCACTAATGCCACTAGCAAAATCAGTTTCAAATTTTATAAATATTTATTTGTATCATTCCAAATGTCTCAATAAAAATGATAGTTAGTGCTGAATGGTGCTTTTTATGTTGGTAGGGTGGGCGTGAGGGATTTTTGTTGGGGGGGGGGTTTGCCCAGGGTGCCATACAAGCTAGAACCACCATTGATTGTCATGGATCATCCTATATGATGTTCCCTGGGCAGCCGGGAGCCCCTCCCAGCAGCACTGCGTACGAGGCTGGGGAGCAGCCTGGGTGGGATGGCAGCCCACCATAGCGCAGAGGCGCACAACATGCTCCAAACGGCCTAACTGCACATAACACTGCATTCATAAGCCATTCATAAGCCATTCATAAGCCATGCTAAGTATCCACTTCACCTCACTGTATTAACTTGTCAGTCAAAGAAACATATATTTTTTTTACTAATATGTTTCTGATATATAACATAAAACCTATTCCCATTAATTTTTATGATGTACTTCATTCATTCATTCAAAGGCAGCCAACAATGAAGATGTTAATTAATATATAACTATGTTTACCTTGAACTGTGTGTACGATCTTTGCACTTTGTGTGTTCATCTCTGCTCTATGGGCCTTGTTGCTGTAAGCACAAGAACTCCCCCCACCAGTAAATGACCAATAAAGTTCATCTTTTATTTTATCTTATCTTATCATATCTTGATTCTGACTTGCCTTGTCTGGCTGAGAATCCTCTATATTGATGATCTGTCTGTGGAAATAGCCGGATGAAGAAAGACCACAAAACCAGAAATGGCAAAGATTCATGTACATATGCAAACCATAAGCATACTGATTCCAGGGAGGTGGATAAGGGAGAACCAGGAGGCAAGGAGATTGCTGGCTGTCAAGTATCTTGACCAGGTGGGTGGGGTTGTCAGGTTGAGGCAGTAGGGGGGGGGAAGGCGATGGTAAAAGTTAACAATTGGACAGACTATCCATAGCGTCTGTGGGGACGTTTCCGGGACGTCGCACATCCTTCACTGGTGTCGGGAGATGCTGTCAATGTGTGGGAGACTTCAGGGAGAGCTGGCATGTCTGGCATATGACTATAACCATTTTGCAGAGTAATGATTCTGAATTCTGACTGCTATACTCTTCTATCTAAAAGTGAAAAGGAGACTACTAGGTTATCTAAGAGCCCTTAATGAGACTCATAGTGTTCTGCTACATATGAAGAACACCTTTGTAAGACCCACTGGTGCAGACCCTCATTATCTACTCCTAAAACTAAGCCCAGCTGTGAGAGTGCAGACCAGCTGAGAGCAGCACACCCAGAGTGAAGGGCTTGATTGAGGTATAGACAGTGAAGGCACTTCCTAACCAATAATGTGGGAGTTCTGTGTGTGTTTTGGGGGGGCATGCTGTTTGGGGCTAATTTTCCCTACTGATGTGAAACCAAACCTAGGTCCTTACATAGAGTTCACTGGTGAGAAGCACTGGGATGACATCACCAGTTGGGTATCACCCTTCGTAACTGACAGGCCAGCTTGGAATGCAGGGTGTCTTACCACCCAGCAAATGAATCCCTGTGCTCAGGCAATTAAGGGAGATGTTCACATTCAGAATGAACTCTGCCTCTTAACTCATCACCCTGTCTTCCCCTCTCCATTCCTCTTAAATCCCCCTTTTGATTCGTTAGAGCACCAGACAGCTTGAATGAGTTACTACTGGTGATGGTGATAAAGGAAACAGGACCTTGAGCCTTATAAGTGGAACATAAAATCTGCAGCCTACACCCAGCCCATGTGTGCGTGCGTGTGTGTGCGTGTGTGTGTGCGCTTATGTATACCAATGAAACCCCCCCACAGTGTCTTGTCTTCGAAACTCACAGTGTGAGTATCAGGCTGTGTTTGTCACCGATACTTCTAGCCCATTTCCCGGAGTTATTTCCTCACTTTCCACCGACTGAACCAGACAGTATTTGACAGTGCACAGTAATCACAGCTAGCATGAATCTGAAAGCCTCATTTACTATTCAAAATGCACTGTTCCATTGATGGCTTTCTTTTTGGACCCATCTATAGACCAAACAGGCAGTGCTAAGTATGTGTGAAAGTACAGCTTATCTCTGTTTGGTACCTAAAAGCTGTGTGAGCAGAGTACTCCATTAGTCACAGATGTGACTCTGCATTTTAAATGTGGTTAAGGAAATTAGATTGATGGATGGATGGATGGATATATGGATGGATGGATGTTTTAGCACACAAGTGTCAGGCGTGTTTATGATTATTCAATGTGTTTTACTAACCATAAAACAATACCTGCATAAGCGATTACTCCAACACAGTATGTGCAATATTTAAACACACAAATAGCACCTATGGAAATGTAACTATTAATGGACAATTGATACAATACATGCTTTTATAATAAATCTTTTCGGAAAAGATATTTAGCTTTGCTTTTGTTTTGCATGACACGCAATCATTTTGATACATCTTAAGGAATTGAATGTTTGAAACGATTTTAAATGTATAATTTGAATAGAAATAACTGATTTTGGATACGAAACCAATATTAATCGTTCGTGGTACTCTGAAACGACACTGGATTTTCTACTTTGACATTGCTTTTTACGTTTTATGCACATTTTTTGCTTGTACTCTTCATGTACTCTTAAGGGTCTGTCGATCTTAGAAGTAATACGGTCTTTTGAAAAGATGGTGCTTTTAGGGGGTGTAACTGGCTGGGGCATGTTTGTTTGGCCGCCACAAGCGGGCTAAATTGGCTAGATGAGCGGGGCGGACTTATCTTCTGCAAAAACGAATGACAGAAATGCAGACTTGTACACGGCAACTGCCCTGTTGATTTCAGTCAGTTCACCAGGACCAAACATTTGGAAATGTGAAGAAGGTTTAAAGTATGGCATGCAAAGATGGTCTCTGTCAAAACGGAGATGGTCATTGCGATACCCCTCAGTTGTATTTACACACTCTTGTACTTGATCTGCATAACTGTCTGGTGAGTACTGAAGCACAATAATGTTGAGATTATATACTCTACAGAAAATTCATCGCCGGTATTGCAGCTGCACGAATAACGCTTGCAGGAGTAGTAAAAATTGGAAACATATTTAATGTATAATTTTCTGTTCACAGCAACAAGCGGTGGTTAGTCTTTTGTAACACATTGCGCTTTATCCTGCACCTTCTTTGGATCGTAAGGGGAGCCTCTGCACAGACAATAAACGATGAGAAACTGTATCCTGAAAAATTCACACGTATTTTAGACCGACTTTTGGACGGCTATGACAACAGGCTGCGACCCGGATTTGGAGGTGAGCAGTTTTCTGATTGTTGGTAAATCTGTGTCAGAACCGGGAATTAATAAAGGTACAACTGGCGATCGCTTATATTATGAAACTACGGTAAAAAGCGAATACTGGCTGATATATATGATTTTAAGTAAATGATTTTATAGGGTGTAAAACTACTATTGTGTGGAGGCTGCGAATTTAATGATTGACACTGGTGTCTTCTAATGTCAAAAATGTGCTTTTTCCTGTGCAATAGGGTGCTAATAACCTGACGTTCAGTTTGGTATGTGTGTGTTGTTAACAATTAACCGCGGCGATGCGTCTTTTTTGTGTTGCCACTATAATTACTTCCCGGATTGGATATCCGCTGTGTTACTGCTTAACAGACATGTACGAAAACCAGCATATTATTCAAAAATTGCGCGTTGACAAGATTGCCTAAAAGCTTGCATATTTTTGCTAAATTATAAATAGCTTGCATAGTTCGGTTGATAATGAGTCTGTGTGTTGTTATGGTACGTGTGTCTGGGAATGTTTCTGGCATTATCTTGAAAAGACGCACGTAAGCTCATAAGAGATGTATAAACACCCTGTTTGTTTGTTTATAAACTTTTGTAGCAATAAACACAACAGCGATGCTCGCGCTCAGCAGTGACGCAGTCAATTCTTCTAATGGCACGAGCCATTCTTTTCATTTTTTCGAAGTCTTCCACTGTCATCTGCTACAGTACATCCGTGCAATAAAGGCAGGACATGTAACACAAATAACGTTAATTTATTAGCAACATACAGTTGGTTGCCTAGGAGACTAGGGAATCTAACAAGGTATACGAAATATTTTTGGTTACGACGGTAAAATATGGTATTAAAATATCTGATCAGTAGTTTAGGTTTAACCACATTTGTAACTTATTTTTCTATGTGCATGATCAGCTAATGATTTTAAAATTGAGAATATATATCTAGTATGTAGTTTTGATTTTCTGAAATAAAATTATATAAGTTTCCTGACCATGTTCATTAATGCTGCCTTCCTCTTATGCAAAGTAATTTATGTGTATAAGGACATAACGACAGTGCCTTTCATGAGTATTGAAATAGTAACCAAATCGAAAATAGCAACAGAGTATAATAAGGCCAGTTCTATAAATTAGAACGTGAATTAATAAAATCACGTCTTTGCCATCAATGATATGCCCATTCTATGGGCTATGCTAAATAGAATCTGTCTGAAATTAAAGAAAAACCTGCAAACATGAATGAGGATGAAAGATTCAATTTTATATCTTAACAGAGATAAATTAGCAATGATATTTTAATATTGTTTTCTTAGGTCCAGTCACCGAAGTTAATACAGATATATATGTAACCAGCTTTGGCCCTGTTTCAGATGTTGAAATGGTAAGTGTTGGAGCAAGAAATTTCAGTAAACAAGGTAAAGTTAATATTTTTTATGGAATTTAACCTGTTTCTGTTCCGTTCAACTGCACGCAGGAAAAATTTTTTTTTGCTATTCAAATAAGGTCAGTACAGAAGTATTTATACTGTAAGTTTTTAACCTTATATTAACGTTATTATGTTTTTAGTTCCATAATAACTGTATTATTTGTAGCTTTGCAAGGTCCAGATTAGTTGCATTCAAATGGCTATCTCTATGTTAAATCATACAACAACAAAAAAAGTTTGCATTTATGGAAAAACAAATTATGAAAAAACTTTGCATGCATGAGTTAAATTTGGTTCCGGTACATACACTATTTTCATTTACATTACATTTATTTTTAGCAGAAACTTTTGTCCAAAGCAACATACAACTGAGCCAAATAGTGCATTACAAGCATACGTGCTGTGGAGGAGTCGACTAGGCATAAGGTACTCTGTGACAGCTTTTTTGCGAAACATTTTTTGATTAAAATGATATTAAAAAATCTCATCTCATACTGTTCTTTCGATTCTCCTTTCTTGTGTACAGCACTATACACTGATCAGCTATAGCATTAAAACCGCCTGCATAACATAGTGTAGGCCCCCTAGGCTCTGACCCCTCGAGACTCCACAAGACCTCAGAAGGTGTCCTGTGGTATCTGGCATTAAGACATTAGCAGCAGGTGGGGCCTCCATGGATCGGACTTGTTTGTCAAGCACATTCCACAGACGCTCAGTCGGATTGAGATCTGGGGATTTTGGAGGCCAAGTCAAGAACTTGAACTCTTTTTCATGTTCCTCAAACCATTCCTGAACAATTTTTGCATTGTGGCAGGGTGCATTATCCTGCTGAAGGAAGCCACTGCCATCAGAGAATACTGTTGCCATGAAGAGGTGTACTGCAACAATGTTTAGGTAGGTGGTATGTGTCAAAGTAACATCCACATGAATACCAGGACCCAAGGTTTCCCAGCAGATCATCACCCAGAGCATCACTACCTCCGCCGGCTTGCATTCTTCCCACAGTACATCCTGGTGCCATCTTCCCCCTGGGTAAATGACGCACACGCTTCTGCCCATCCACATGGTGCAACAGAAAATGTGACTCATCAGACCAGGTCATCTTCTCTCATTTTTTCCCTTGTTAAGTTCTGATGTTCCCCTGCCCATTATCGGTGCTTTCGGTGGTGGACGGGGGTCAGCATGGGCACTTTGACCAATCTGTGGCTGTGCTGCCCCATACGCTGCAAGCTGAGATGCACTGTGTCTTCTGACACCTTTTTATCATAGCCAGCATTAACCCTTTCAGCAATTTATGAAACAGTAGCTCCTCCGTGGGATCAGACCAGGTGGGCTACAGCTTTAGCTCCGCACACACTTCAGTGAGCCTTGGTGCCCATGACCCCCTCACCAGTTCACCGGTTGACCTTCCTTGGATCATTTTTGGTAGGTACTGATCACTGCATACTGGGAACACCTCACAGGAGATCATCTGACCCAGTGATCTAGCCATCAGTATTTGGCTGTTGTATTAATCACTCAGATCCTTACACTTGGCCATTTTGCCTTCTTCCAACACATCAACTTCAAGAACTGAATGTTCACTTGCCTAATATCTAATATATAATGGCACCTTTGACAGGTGCCATTGTAATGAGATAATCAGTGTTATTCATTTCACCTGTCAGTGGTTTTAATGTTATGGCTGATTGGTGTATATTGAAGAAATATATATATTTAAACACACATACACACACACACACACACACACACTGTAATGGTTATTGCAATGTTTTTTTTGTTTTAGGAGTACACTATGGATGTGTTTTTCCGCCAGACATGGGTGGATCGCAGGCTGAGCTTTGAGGGTCCCATGGAGATCCTCCGGCTCAACAACCTCATGGTCACCAAGGTGTGGACCCCAGACACCTTCTTCCGGAATGGCAAAAGATCTGTCGCCCACAACATGACTGCCCCCAACAAACTTTTCCGCATCATGAAAAATGGCACAATCTTGTACACCATGAGGTAACACTGGTTAAAAGCAAGGTCACTTCACTAGCTCAGTAGTATATAGTGTCTCTCTGAAAGTCAGTAACTATCCAGTCAGTTTGCATATATTCATTGGTTCAGATTGGGCATCAGGACTGGCCGTTGGGTATGTGCACTGCCAAAATTTATTGTGGGGGACCCCCAATTCCAGGGCTGATTTTTTGATTCCACTCCTGCCCTGCGAGACATACAGTCATGGCCAAAAGGTTTGAGAATGACACAAGGATTGGTTTTCACAAAGTTTGCTGCTTCAGTGTTTGTAGATCTTTTTTGTCAGATGTTTCTATAATATACTGAAGTATAATTACAAGCATTTCATAGGTGTCAAAGGCTTTTATTGACAATTACATTGTTTATGCAAAGAGTCAATATTTGCATTGTTGGTCCTTCATTTTTCGAGAACTATACAACTCACCCTGGCATGCTGTCAATCAACTTCTGGGCCAAATCCTCACTGATGGCAGCCCATTCTTGCATAATCAATGCTTGGAGTTTGTCAGAATTTCTGGGTTTTTGTTTGTTCACCTGCCTCTTGAGGATTGACCACAAGTTCTCATTGGGATTAAGGCCTGGGGAGTTTCCATCGACCCAAAATGTCAATGTTTTGTTCCATGAGCCACTTAGTTATCACTTCTACCTTATGGCATGGTGCTCCATCATGCTGGTAATGGCATTGTTCATCACCAAATTGTTCCTGGATGGTATGGAGAAGTTGCTTTCGGAGGATGTTTTGGTACCATTCTTTATTCATGGCTGTGTTCTTAGGCAAAATTGTGAGTGAGCCCACTCCCTTGGCTGAGAAGCAACCCCACACATGGATGGTCTCAGGATGCTTTACTGTTGGCATGAGACAGGACTGATGGTAGCGCTCACCTTTTCTTCTCTGGACAATCTTTCTTCCCTAAACAATCGGAAAGCGGATTCATCAGAGAAAATGACTTTACCCCAGTCCTCAGCAGTCCAATCCCTGTACCTTTTGCAGAATTTCGGTCTGTCCCTGATGTTTTTCTGGGACAGAAGTGGCTTCTTTGCTGCTCTTCTTGACACCAGACCATCCTCCAAAAGTCTTTACCTCACTGTGCATGCAGATGCACTCACACGTGCCTGCTGCCATAACTGTTCCTGAGCACTGATGGTGCCCCGATTACACAGCTGGGCGCCCTGAAGCCTTCTTCACAACAATTAAACCTCTCTCCTTGAAGTACTTGATGATCTGATAAGTGATTGATTTAGGTGCAATCTTAATAGCAGCAATATCCTTGCCAGTGAAACCCTTTTGTGCAAAGCAATGATGACGGCACGTGTTTCCTTGCAGGTAACCATGGTTAACAGAGGAAGAACAATGATTTAAAGCACCACCCTCCTTTTAAAGCAGCAAGTCTGCTATTCTAACTCAATCAGCATGACAGAGTGACCTCCAGCCTTGTCCTCATCAACACTCTCACCTGTGTTAATGAGAGAATCACTGAAATGATGTCAGCAGGCCCTTCTGTGGCAGAGCTGAAATGCAGTGGAAATGGGCGTTTTTGTGATTAAGTTCATTTTCATAGCAAAGAGGGACTTTGCAAATAATTGCAATACATCTGATCACTCTTCATAACATTCTGCAGTATATGCAAACTGGCTTCATAAAAACTGAGGCAGCCGACTTGTGAAAATCAATATCTATGTTATTCTCACAGCCACGGCTGTACAGTATAAAAGTATAAAAGAAACAGGACAGATGTTTTGCATACTAATGGTAGAAATTGATGACAAAAGAATAAATTATGATCTGTAATTAGTTTGAAATGATTGCAGCCCATTGACTGCAATTCTTACTGTTGTACATTAGTGCTGTTGATATGTTCAGTCTAACAAATCCGTGTTCCTCGAACAATAAAGCTGAACTAAATCTCAATATAACTGAGCATCTTTGTTCCAGACTAACGATCAGAGCAGAGTGTCCAATGAGGCTGGTGGATTTCCCAATGGATGGACATGCGTGCCCCCTAAAGTTTGGAAGCTGTGAGTCAGTGTGTTGTTGTTTTTTTTTATTATTATTCATTGACTGCAACATGTGAATTTCAATTGATATAGCTTAAAAAGCTTAGTATTCTGGTAAAGTATATTTCAATACCCAATACTTCAATATACAGTGGTACCTCAGTTCTCAAACTAATTAGAACTCGAATTTCTTAAAAGTCGAACCAACTAGTTCGAAAAAAAATGACCTAGAACTCGATCTGAATCTCAGAAGTCAAACCGTGAACGCCGACCTAAGATAACTTATATGCGCGGGGAAATGAGTCATGTGGCACGTCTCTCAGCGGAAACAAAGTTTAAGGCTTCAGTCTCAGCCTTGCATTCGCTGTGTTAGCATCGTACATGTTTACACTAGCTGAATAGATATATTTAGACAGTAAAAAATACATTTACTGTAGACAATGATAGACAGTAACAGTAATTATTATTATATAATAAAATATATTTAAAAATAAAGATTTCTTATTCATTATTTTAATATTAATAATAAACCATTAATACATTTAATTATGATAATATTGTCGTGCCCATCGGGGAAGGAAAGGAGACAAAGGCGCAGACGTCAGGATATCGGGGAATACGGGGTTTAATTACAGGTAAGGCAGGAAAAACGCAGACGGACAATACAATGACCGGGCTGGGGAAACAAACTGAAACGCGGACTAAATACAGAGGACTAATGACAACAGCCAGAAACAGCTGATCACACGGGGATTCCACACGGGGTTAATGAGGGGGCGTGGCACACGGAAGGAGCGGACGATCGGGGCAGGACACATTGTTTTTTTTTTTACTTTACACATAGTTTGGATACATTTATCTTCTTACTTTACAAATTACTGTTTTGATAAATGTGCTTAGATGTGTTTAGTACAGTATATGCTCTTGTTTTATCCGGTTCATTTTGTGTTTAAATACTAAAAAAAACATATTTAGGTATAATTTTTTAGGGCAAACCAAAATTAATTGGTTTTCCATTATTTCTTATGGGGAAAATTCGATCAGAACTCGAACTTTTTAGGATTCGATCCGGAGTTCTGAACGGATTGAATTCAAGTTCTGAGGTACCACTGTATATATTTTTTTAATTTGTGAGTTAGTACCATGTATAAGTGGCAAAATTAAGCCTTATTGTACAGTCGTACATACATTTCTGATAATTTAAAACTCTTTATTCATTTAAATTTTATGTAGCACCCTTCCCATTTTCCCAAAGCGGTAATAAATAAAGATTTAGCAAAAACAATGTAATCCAGAGCTATGATTACAGTGATTGTACAGCAAAGGGCCCAGTGCATTCAAATCCATATGCTGATACTGTGTGTGGATGAATACACAGCAAGGATTTTTGTAAAAGAAAAGAGCCTCATCGCATAATGGCCTGGCTTCAGTTTATCTTCCCTATCACCTTGCTTGTCATGGCTAGTGATTATTTAAACAGCTGCGGGCCGCATTCTTATGTGTAGTTTTAAATTTACTTTCTCATAAATCCAGTGGAAGAGGCTTTTATCCAAAGTGATGAAGAAAGGGCTTCTTCCTCAACCTGTGGTAGGCGGTAGTGGCTGTTACTTAGCATGGGTAGTTACTGCTGACCAGATTCAAGGCAAATCAAAGCAAGATGAAAGTCTTATAATAAATGACACATTTACAAAAACAAGTAAAATTTACAATAATTCGCTAACATTATTCATTTATAGGAAATCCAAACACCCTAAAATACATATAATGTTCTCGCCATATGTCTGCTAAACAAAGTTAATAATGTTATTATTTGAGCCAGGAACCTAAGATTTTTCAATAATTTATGATACTTATTCTGTTTATATATTTTTTTTATTGTCATTATAAACCCTTAGCGGTTATTTTCTCTTAAGCTACTGCGGAACTTTATTACTTTAAAAGAGTCCCAGCAGAATTTACTGGAGATTATATAAACCAAAGGCAGTATTTTTGAAATAGCTCCTCTGGATTGAGTGCTTATAGGAGGCATATTAAAAGCTTCTATTTGTCTTTATTCAACCATGCCTGACATGCTGGAGAAACTTACGAAGAACTCAGACATTATGATTATTGAATAAGCACTTTGCTATTGAGGCATTTCCAGACAAAACTTTTGATTACATGCTTTGTGACTTGACCCTCTGGGTGGAAAAAAAAACATTCTTCAAATACATTCTCAAGAGCTTTTGATGAGACGTATAAATCTCAGCTAATTAAGAGAAATGAATCCTTATTCAAAAAACTGTTAAAACTACAATGAAAGGATTTCTCATTTTGCAGGGGCTGATTCTCTCTTTTATAACTTTAACAATTGCATTAGGAATAGTGGTTTCTAGGTCTGGCAAAAAGCTTGTGGTTTCAGACTTCATAAAACCCCAGATGAAGCCTGATTTCGTCTGGTAATCTGGTAATAAAAGAATCCTGATTATATCTGATGCCTGTTATATATGCAGATGTTTCTTTTTTATTCTTTTTTTCTTTTCTGAGGAGGGATTATTCTGCCTGCGTCTCCTGTAACCATAATTTCATGGATATTACGACGTTACATCGGCATTAAGCCCTTACCTAATGCAAACCACACATGTGTTCCACACTTCTCATCCTCAGATGCATATCCCAGAACAGAGGTGATCTACACCTGGACTAAAGGACCAAAATATTCAGTTGAAGTACCGTCTGAGTCCTCCAGCCTGCTTCAGTATGATCTCGTTGGACAGACGGTCTCCAGTGAGACTGTAAAATCGATTACAGGTAGCCTGCTAGCCACACCTACATCACAGTGACAGCGCAACATGCCAGGACATATAATTTCATCGTTATATTCATCCTGTGTCATGATAGCTAGTTCATGCTTAGCCTGGCACATGCACTCAACTTGCTGTCAGTTAAAGTAGAAGCTGATTATAAGCAGAAGCTGATATTTGCTTTTTTTTTCAGATGCTAGCTTAATTGACAATAATGTGGAAATTTGACAAGGGTTGAGAGATATAAGGTTTATTCAAATGAAAATTTATTTTTTTAAATAAACGTGTGTTTAATAATGAACACAAACCAACCAATAGGTGTTAATATTTAAACAAAATAATATTTAGTGTTAGATTGTCATTAAATATTAGTCTGGTGGTTCAATGACTGCAAGCTGAAATTCCAGGTTAAAAAAACCTTTTGTATTTTACAAATTTGCCTCAATATAGTGCTAGATTTTTAAGACACTCGAATGATGTGCTGATGCATATGAGGTCAAGACAACCTCTGTTTTTTTGTGTATTAGGGGAATATGTTGTCATGACGGTGTATTTTCACCTCAAGAGGAAAGTGGGATACTTCATGATTCAGACATACATCCCGTGCATCATGACAGTGATTCTCTCCCAAGTGTCCTTCTGGATCAACAAGGAATCGGTTCCTGCAAGGACTATTTTTGGTATGTCTCCTTCCTTACTCATATTTGGGAAGCAGGAAAAAACATGAGTTTGATGGTGTTTTTAAATTGTTTTCTGCATGCGATATGGCCTCCTACTCAGAATTTAATTAAAGGAATGACTTAATTACCTGCTCCATAATCAGCCCAGCATAGCAAAATGAAGTTTGTGAAGACCCACTGATCACCACCTATAATTTCCTCAGATGTGTGTTTCCATGACCATTTTAAGAATGGCTGCTCCTTATTCAATTGCTGCTTTTCTGTCTGCCAATCCTCTGCCTGAGTAGCCTCTGGCTTTAATAGTCTCCACCAGCCACGGAGAGTTAAGGGTGGAGGGCGAGGCTGACTGTCCAAAACGCCGGTACTCAGTTCAGCAGCGCTTGAGTTGCTCAAAAACATTTACTCTCACTGTCTTTGAGTCACCCCTGTGTAGCATTACCTGCCGAAAGGCGGATTCTCAGCAGTTTTCCATCAGTTCCCACAAACGTACCTGATACTTTGGACCAGAAAGTTCTGTCTGATTTGTTCTGTTTGCAGGGAAAGCTTGTAGCCATTGGCCATATGAGTGTGCTAACACTTTAAATTTCTGAAATGATTTCTTGGTATTTTTTCTATTCATTCATCTATTTTCCTGGCCCTGTGAGATCATTATACTCGATCCATTCTCTCCTTGCTCTTTGTATCATATTTACATTATTACTACTCTTAATCATTTGCATTCATCTTTTATTTTATATGCAAATTTTGCATGCATTAAAATTATAATTAGTGCTTAGCTATTACTTCTCTCAAGTTTTCTAGTGAGTTAGGCTGATCAGCTGATTACTTTATTCTAAAAAATGGATACATAACATGAGATTAGTGGATTCAGTGTGTTTGTGTGTGTGGGTTTCCAGTAGGTCTCACTTGTTCCCAGTGTTGGGGAGTAACGAGTTACATGTAATCTGTTACAGTTACTAGAGAAAAAAGTGTAATTAAATTACAGTTACATATGGAAATTTTCATGATTACAATTTTAGTTACATCATAAGATTGTATGCTAAACCTTGCTAATATCTTTAATAACAGTATTTTTATTGCTTTTCATGTTTTTCTTATGCAAAACATCCTCCTTTGCTATTTCCCTCCACAGCCGAAAGTTTGAAACTATTCGATGCTTCTGATTGGTTATCCTGTCACGTCTACATTTGCAGCCAATTCTGCTAATTAACTCACCGGAGCGGTCTGAGTTTCTGTTGCAGGCAATGGCAGACAAGGAAAACATTCCATTGCTGGAAATATAAAAAACATTTCCAATACATTACGGAAAAAGGCACAAATTTAACTGTGCAATGCAGGCTGCAAATGTAGACGCTGTTAACCCCTTACTGTGTTGCCCCATTGCACTTCAAATGGATGCAATACAATAATTAATAACTATTAAGACAAAAATCATCTGAAAACCCAAGGGGTGTGCAAAATTGTTCCCTGTAGTCCACTGATCAAAGCACACTTCACTAGATGTGTGCCTGTCTTATCTAGTTTTAAAGTTATTAACCCATTCATGTATTATCCCATTGCACATTATGATTATACGGATACCTTCGAACATTCAAAAATTAATTAAAAATCGTATGTAAAGCAATCTGGGAAAGAAAGGGGTGTGCAACAGTCGCCATGAGCCCAAAATGCTAAACCACCATGTCATTATAGGACCTATTATATTAGCTATTAACACGATTTTGCACAAATCACGAAATGGTTTGAAGCGCAAAAATAATTGGTGTGCATCATTGTCTGTGTACTGGACACACGATTCTGTCATTAAAAATGCCCCACCTTACTTCCGTTAAATGTTATTAAAGCCTGAAAACTGAATATCGAATATGAAGCTAACTTAACTGCGGTGCCCCAGGTAAACTTGACTTAGCCTCTCATCTTTTCAATAGCTAGAAACTTCTCTGGTCAGCGCATTGGTGCAATAGCGAAAGTTACTGAACTGGATGGGTTGGTGACATTTTATGAACGCGAAATATGTGTTACATACACCGATTCCTAATAAAAGTACATTATTATAGAACTGCAAAGATGCAATTCCATGCTTCCCGCTATGTTGCAGTGTTCTGAAGCGTCATGAAGTGGGCGCGCTCAGATGGTTAAAGGCGTGTTCACTCCAAATTCCAGCTGACCAATAGACGTGTAAGCTGCTAAGGCCCGCCCACCCGTTAAAACAGTGCCAAAAGTCAGAAGCAAAAAAGCATTCCAAAAGCAAAAAAAAATTCCAGAAGCAAAAAAAAATAATTCAAAAGCAAAGAAAAACATTCAAGAAGCAAAACAAATTAGAGAAGAAGAAGGGAAAAAATATTTTATTAGACTTTTTTGATATTTGGGAAACATATTTTCATTCTGATACTTAATGATTTTGATTAATACTTTTGGCACAAAATTAACTCCATAGCTGTCCCCCTTCAATATGGTAAGGTTATTGGTAATTTATGTTAGGTCAAATATTAGCACTCCCGACATGCTATGTCGTATTGAGTTTTGAAAATTCACTAACTAGTTATAACCTCTGGGCGATGCAGCCTTACCACTGTGCTAACCCATTTTATTTAGAACATAAGAAATTTACAAACGAGAGGGGGCCATTCGACCCATCAAGCTCGTTTGGGGAGAACTTAACTAATAGCTCAGAGTTGTTAAAATCTTATCTAACTCTAATTTAAAGGAACCCAGGGTTTTAGTTTCCGCTACACTAGCAGGAAGACTATTCCATACTCTAACTACAAGTAAAGAAGTGCTTCCTCAAATTTGTTTCAAAATGTTCTCCCGCTAATTTCCACTTATGGCCAC